AATGAAAGAACAGAAGAACTCTCCAGAAAAAGAACTAAATGAAATGGAAGCAAGCAAACTACTAGATACAGAGTTTAAAACAATAGCTATAAGGATGCTCAAGAAACTTAATGCGAGCTTCAAGGGACTTAGTGAGACTTTCAAGGAACTTAGACTTTCAAGGCAATTAGTGAGAACAACAACATAAAAAAAGGACCAGTCAGAAATGAAGCATACACTAACTGAAATGAAGAATAATTTACAGGGCATCAACAGTAGGGTAGAGGACGCTGAGAGTTTCGGAATATGAGGAAGTAGAACACCCAATCAGAAGAGCAATAAGAAAAAAAAAACCCCAAAATATGAAGATAGTGTAAGGAGCCTCTGGGACAACTTCAAGTGTACCAACATTTGCATCATTGTGCTACTGGAAGGAGGAGAGAGGGAGCAAGAGATTGAAAACCTATTTGAAAAAAATGACAGAAAATTTTCCCCACCTGGTGAAAGAAATAGACTTAGAAGTCCAGGAAGCCCAGGGAGTCCCAAACAAGAGGAACCCAAAGAGGCCCACACCAAGACACATCATAATTAAAATGGAAAAAATTAAAGACAGAGAATCTTAAAAGCAGCAAGACAAAAGCAGTAATTACCTACAGGGTAGCACCTGTATGACTATCAGCTGATTTCTCAACAGAAACTTTGCAGGCCAGAAGGGAGTGGCAAAAAATATTCAAAGTGATGAAAAGCATAGACCTACAACCAAGATTACTCTACCCAGCAAAGCTATCATTTAGAATTAAAGAGATAAAGAGCTTCACAGACAAGGAAAAACTAAAGGAATTCATCACCACCAAACCAGTGTTAAATGAAATGTTGAAGGGTCTTTAAGGAGCTAATGAACAAAAGAAACTGACAAACAAAATAGACCCAGAGACATTGAAGCATGCAACAGACTGATGTATTTCAGAGGGAACGGGGTGGGGACAGGAAGAGATTAACCAAAGAGGTGATACACATATATATGCATAACCCATGGACACAGACAATAGTGTGGTGAAGGCCTCGGGAGGGGGCCAGAGTGGGGTGGAGGGGGTCAATGGGGGAAAAAAGGGGACATCTGTAATACTTTCAACAGTAAAGGTAAATTTAAAAAAAAATCAATCGTGAGAGTGTCTTTGATCAGCTGCCTCCTGCATGCCCCCAACTGGGGATCGAGCCCACAACCCGAGCTTGTGCCCTGAATCAAACAGCGATCTCCTGGATCCTAGGTCGATGCTCAACCACTGAGCCATGCCCAGCTGGGCAATTTGAGCTTTTGTAAAAAATATAATCACAGGAATTATTTAGAAGATCTTTAGAGAGCCCTAAATACATCACAGACTAGTCTTGTTGTTTAAGCTGGAGAAACACTTCCTGTTCATTTTCTAAAAACGGATTTATTGAGGCATAATTCACATACTATAGTTCACCCATTCCCTGTTAATTTTAAAAACCATTTCCTAGGGTTCTTTCAATGGTTTTTTCAGATATTTACCGCCTCCTTTTCCAATCAATGGAGAGAAATAAATGGATTGAGGTGTACAAGAGAAGGATATTCCAGGTACAGGGAACAAATAAAATAAGGCCTTGAGGTGGAAATAACATGAAGGAATGAGAAGAACATTGGTCTGAGTATGAGGAAAAAACAAATAGGAAGTAAGGTACGTGTCTTAGTGATGAATTGTAAAGTAGATATCTGGAAAGGAAGTGTGGGCTTCTGTCTTTCTTCACTTCCATTTATAGGACCTTATTCTAAGGTATCAAGAAGAGAAGACAAGAAACAGCACACAGTCCCGCAAAATCACACCTTCCTAACTGATGTTCAGAGTACGGTAGCCCTCTACTGTTTTCCTTATTAGTGCATTGGTATCTGATTTTTTTTTGTTTTTTTTAAGTATATCTTTATTGATTTCAGAGAGAGGAAGGAAGACAGAGGGAGAGAGATAGAAACATCATTGATGAGAGTCATTGATCGGCTGCGTCCTGCACACTCCCTGCTGGGGATCGAGCTTGCAACCCGGGCGTGTGCCCTGACTGGGAATTGAACTGCGATCTCCTGGATATGCTGATGCTCAACTGCTGAGCCACGCCCAGCCGGGCTGATTCTTATTCTCTACGCATCTGTCTAACTACCATGGACTAACCTACCATCCTAGCCCCTTCATGGCCTCTGCAGTCTCCCATGAGCATGGTATGGTGATTTTCTGTTCCATGGTTTCATCATTCTCCTGCTCTCAACCCTCCAGTGCCTTCTCATCTCACTGAGAATAAAATTCAGAGTTCTTATTGAGGCCTACCAGGCTCTGCATCACCTGCTCGATCCTTCTTAGAGGAGCATGGCTCCCTCTCCCCCTTTGGGTAGAACTGGTCTCAGTTCTACCCCTCTCCCCCTTTGCTTGCAGTATTCCAGCATTGACCTCTCTGTTCTTCCTTAGACACACCAACTATAATTCTACCTCAGAACCTTTGTACTTGCTGTTCTTTCTGCCTAGAATGTTCGTGTGTGTGTGTGTGTGTGTGTGTGTGTGTGTGTGTGTGTGTGTGTTCTCTCCTTCATGCAGGCCTCTTTAAAATGTCACTTCCTTAGAGAAACTTCCCTGACCACTTAATCTAAAGTGGAATTACTTATCCTGATACTCTCTGCTGCTTCTGTTTCATTTTTCTTTATCAGATTTTCCTGTATATGACATTATAATAAACATTTCTTTTGCATTTGATTATATCGTCCTTCCTCCACTGGAATATAAACTCCTTGAAGGCAGTCTTGGTGTGTTGTATGTACTTCAGTATCCTTAGTGCCTAGAATGGTGCCTTTATTATCATGGGCACTTAATACTGTTGAATGTATGCTGACCTTCAGACTTCCCAGGAGAAGGGATCTGTTGGGCTTCAAGTATTTAGTACATCTCTTGAGTAAGATGCTAGACCACCTGCCTTACAACCCTCTGGGCAGCTGTTAAGTCAGGTGCTTATCCTGATACAGCCAGGACAGTGAAGTTACATTGTCCTCTTCTTTCAATATCCCTTCTTTCTACTTGAATGGGCTCATCCCTTGAAAAGTTTCAAGTTTCAACTCTAGGTTCATGAGAAAAATTTTGCCACCTGCCATGCTGTGGAACATTTGCTTCCTAAGGTCTAAAGGAATAATAGGTGGAAGTATTTGGCTTTCTTGACCTTTATGGCCTCTTGCTGTGTCCTCCTGACTCATACATTTGTTGGTCTCTGGGGAATGATAGGCGGGAATATTTGGCTTTCTTGACTTTCTTTATGTCTTCTTGCTGTGTCCTCCTGACTCATACATTTGTTGGTTTCTGGTTCTTCATTTTAGTCTGTCCTCTCTCCTTGGCCCCCCTCTTTTCTTTCTCTTGTTCTTTTCTCTCAGCTGCCATTTTGCTTTGCCCTCTGTGTCATTCTAGAGCTTGCTTAGCATCAATTCTTGCCTTTGAAACTTTCAATTTACTTGCTTTGTATACTCTTCTCTACTTTGTTCCTTAGGGTTGGAGAGAATGAGCTGAGTCACTCTTTTTTTCCATTTTTTTATTTAGTATTTGAAAACCTACTTGTGTAAGACACTGTGCCAGGTTCTGGGCCACTTCAGTAAATAAAACCCCAGGTTCTCAGTTGGGAAAACAAAGAGGTTGCTTGTTATTCATTCATTTTTTCAGCAAATATTTAAGATTGGGATACAGTGGTTGGCAAAAACAAATTTCTTTCTCTCATGGACCAAACATTTTGGTAAGACAGATGTACATTAAGTAAAAAAGTATACAAACACATGTTAAATTATAGTGATGTTGAGTCCTATGAAGGAGGGCTCTATGGTGCCATGGGAATATATATTAGGGGGACTTGTTCTGGTCCAGAGAGCTGGGACAGCCTCCTTAAGGAAGTGAAAGGTGAACTGAGATCTGAAAAACACAGTAAGAATTAAGTAGGCAAAGGCAGCAGGAAAGAGAATAGCAGATGCAAAAGTTCAGCATGAGAGGGAGCTTGGAGCATTTGAGGAAGTGAAAGTATGTAGAGCAGGATGGAATGATACTGAATGAGGCTGAAGAGGCAGGCTGGTGTCAAATCCTACAGGGTTTGGTGGGTCCTGTTAAGGACTTTAGTCCTTATTCTGTGAGCAGTGAAATGGATGCAGTTGGAGTACTATAAGTAGAGGACGGGGGGGAAAAAGTATAAAAACATACCTTAATTTTTAAAACATTAGTCTGAATATTGTGAAGAATAAATGAGTTGGACATAGGTATAAGTGAGGGAAAGGATATGGGAATGCCAGTTAGGAGGCTATTGCAGCAGCCCAGATGAGAGGTGAGGGTAGGGGTTAGCAAGGATTTTATGTTTCCAAATCTTATTAAATGTATTTATCTCAAAAATTGTTTTTGAAGGTTGACTTACACAGATGTGATAAAAGTTAAGTTCATCCAAATGAGAAATGGCTGATTTAAATAAAAGGGGTGCGAGTGGAATTATACCAGATAATCTAGGATAAAAATGACTGAGCTCAAGTTTAAAACAGCTCTGAGCTCCTAGAAGCCTACACAGAGAGGGAAATAGTGTAGGTCATGTGATTGCTTGTTTAACAAAAGAAGCATCTAGTTAAGTAAGAAATACAATCTTTTTCTTGTAAACATTGAAACTACTTTACTATAGGATTGATATTAAACAACCTGGATTGGTCCAGATTATTGAAACCCAAGACTTCAGCTCTTGTGATCATGGCATTAACCCATTTTTGGCAGTGGGTTACATTAGTATTTCAAAGAGTAAAAATTTCTAAACTTCCCAGAGCTGAACTACATAAATGGATTTCTTAGTAGACCCCTTGCTACAGAGCAGAAGGATAGGATAGTAGAGGAGGTAAGAAATATAGACCAGGTGAGAAGCCCATAATGCAGCCCATGGGCAAGAAGTAAACCCTTAACTTATTTCCTTGAGAACCTTCTCTTTTGCCTTCACAGATACTTTTTTTTTCTTGCTTGCTTCTCCAGTAGCTATTTATTTTCCCCCCATAAATACTTATTCATAGAAGGCATCCTTCTTGCCTTGCAAGATGCATAGTCAGGGACAAAGAATGCCATGCACAGAGGTGGAAGCCTTATTTCTCAGCTGTTCACATTCCAGCCATTAAACCATACTTCCAGAATCAAGTAGTTCAAAACCAGAATTATTTCTAATTATTTTAATGAAGTTATCCAGAGTTCCCAGTGACTGTCCTGAGTTCTCTGTACTGGGGCTTATTCTCCATACATTCTCTTCGTAGCCCTGTACTTGGCCAATAGCTTTAGCTTTGCTGCGTACTCTCCTGGTAAGATGTTAGGCCCAAAGGCACAGGAGGGTCCCAGAAGAGCCAGAGAGAACAGCAAAATAGGGAACAATAAGTCAGATAAATCCAGATTGTTGGCCCCCAAACCTCAGCTCTTGAGATAGTGGCTTTAATCCATTTTTGATAGTAGGTCACATTGGTGTAGACTCCAGGAAGAGTTTTACCACATCCTAATCCCCAGCTTACCAACCCTATCTGGGTCCATACACCATCGATGTGACATGACAGAGGCCCTCCAGAATCACCCTGAGGAAGAGATAAAGGTCATGAGCATGTGTGAAAAAGACCATGAATAGGAGTGTGGTCATAAGAGGTGGAGAGTTTCTTAGAATGGGGTAGTGGATACTATGGAGCTATAGAACTCTGGAGGAAGCTGGAATTCCCACTGCATTAGGGGGAGATCACAGGAATTCTAGAATCATAGAATTTGAAATTGGCAGATAACTTAGCTAAATGCAGGGATGGATAAAAGTAGGTTTACAGTTATAATACAAATACATAATACAGCAATTAATAAATAATAATATAAGAATAAACACTGTTTTGCATACTCACAACTGTAAACTTACTTTTGCCCACCCCTATATATCAGTAGTTTCAAAATACTCATTATGAATTGAAGTTGTGATGAGTGTTTTCACTAAAGTTATTCAATTGAATAAACTGCCCTTATTTTTATATCCTTAGGTCCTTATTGCCTTTTTTAGTGTCAAAATAATCCTTTCTTAACAAAATGATAGTGATAGTAAATAGTTGGTGATATGTCTCTTAATCTTGCTTTTCTTTTTTATAATAACCTTATTGTTATAATTCACATAACATACAATTCACCCATTTAAAGTGTATAAGTCAGTGATTTTTAGTATATTCACAATGTTGCTCAACTATCACCACAACACATTTTGGGACATTTTCATCACCTCCAAAAGAAACTCCATGCTTATTAACAGTCACCCTCATTTCCTCTGACCCCTCCCAGCCCTAGACCAACCAGTAATCTACTTTGTGCCTTATGGATTTGCACATGCTGGACATTTTATATAAATAGAATAATATGTCACCTTTTGTGTCTGGCTTCTTTCATTAAGCATACTCTTTTTAAGGTTCATCTATGTTGTTGTATGTATAGGTACTCCATTCCTTTTAATGGCTGAATAATATCTCATTATATGGATATACTAATTTGTTTATCTAGTCATCAGTTGGTGGTCGTTAGAGTTGTTTCACTTTTTGGCTATTACGAATAATGCTGTTAGGAATGTTTATGTACAAGTTTTTATGTAAACATATGTTTTTATTTTCCCTTGTGTGTATACCTAGGAGTAAAATTCCTGGGTCATGTGGTAAGTCTATATTTAACCTTTTGAGGAACTACTAGACAATTTTCCAAAGCAGCTGCACTATTTTACATTCCTACTAGGTGTATGAAGTTTCCAGTTTTTCCACATTCTTGTCAACTCTTGTCATTATCTATCTTGATTGTAGCCATTCTAGTGATTGTGAGGCCATGTCTCATTGTTTGGTTTGCAGATAATGAATATATAGGTAGGAAATCTTGGTAGAGATATAGAAAAGTATGTGCATGCACACACACATGTGTACATATGAATGTGTGTGTGTGTGTGAGAGAGAGAGAGAGAGAGAGAAAGAGAGAGAAGAAATAAAACTAAACAGTCACTCCAGAACAAAAAAAATATTTGAAAAATTTCACTAGATGAACTTAGCAGGAAAATATAGATGACAGGAGAAAGAGGCAATGATCTTGAATATGGATTAATTTAAAAATATCCCAAGGAACAGAAAAAGAGAAAAATAAAATGAAAAGATTCAGGGACTCTGTGTGGAAATATCAAAATGTGTAACTTATGAATTTGTGGTTTTAACCAGAAGAGGAAAAGAGAGAAATGAGGTAAAATAATATTTGAAGAAATCATGAATGAAAAATTTTCAAGTTTTGATGAAAGATAAAAACATTAAAAAATGAAAAGTTCAACAAATCCAATGAATAAATACAATGAAAACCATACCTAGATATCAGAATCAAACTTCTGACAATCAAATATGAAGGAAAATTGAAAGCAGCCAGAGCAAAACAGCATGTCACACTCAATGGAGGAAGACACAACTGATGGCTGAGTTTTCATCAGACAGCTATGATCAGGAGACAGTGGAATGACATCTTTTAAATGTAGGATGAAATGCTGTTACTTGAAAAAATAAAAAAGTTGGTAATTCTGTATCAGTCTCTTAATATATTTAGAAAAATTTACGAGTTTGTAAAACCCAATAACCAGTGGTTAGCATTGCTCTAGATTGGGTGGGGAACATCGGGCCTGTGGGCCATATATGGCCTGAGAAATCATTTGGTCTGGCCCTGCCAAGGCAAATGCAGGCGGGACTTGAAATTCAATAAATCTAGGAGCTTTTTTCATAGCTAATTTTTAAGTTGATAATTTTGTATGGCCCGCAAATGGTGTTATAAATATTCAAATGGCCCTTGGCAGAAAAAAGATTCTCCACCCCTGCTCTAGATCAACGATTGAAGAGGTTAAATTTGTAGATAAATGTTAAGTGACTTGTCCAGGGTAACACAAGAATTATTGTCAGAACCCTTATCTCCTGATTCCTAATCCACTGTTGTTTACAGATAGGACTACCTGGATCCACTTCAAGACCTTATGTTAAAAAATTTCAAGAGTAAACCCTAACCTGGCAGGCGTCCTTATTTTTATGAGTATCAGCAGCACAAATCATGTCTTCCTTGATGATTTTCTCTAATTCTGGCTCGATGGCGCTGAGTGGGTTGTAGAGAAGTTCACAAGTTTGGCGGTCTATGATGGCTATTTCTGCTTCCTGGAGGGTGGAAGTGTTATCACTACCTGTAAAGATAGGAATGAAAGGAAAAGCAGTCTAGAAAGGTGTAGGGGCAGCATTCAGTCATGATGTACAAAATTTCTGAATGGGAATCCAAAAGCAGAATATAATCACTTTCCAATCATATTTGCTAGTGGAAGAATTTTTTAGTACACTTAATCCAAAACAATGGATAATTCAAAATTATCTCTATTTGTTTGAAGTTTTTCTAATGTGCCAAGGTGGGGTATTCTTGACATTCCAAATAAAGAGAAATTCAGATATATTTTGATTAAGGAAAGATATGAGTGTTCTAAAGTATTCTAAACCTTTTTCCTTTCCCACTTCTCTGCTCCCAGATAATTCCCTGTCTTGTCTTTACTCCATCTTGAGAGTGGAAGAGAGGAAGGGGGGGACAGGGGAGGGGGAAGAGAGGGAGAGAGACTGGTTGTCTTTTGCACTGGCCCCTACCAGGGCCGGGGACCAACCTGCAACCCAGGTATGTGCCCTTGACCAGGAATTGAACCCACAACCCTTCGGTGCACAGGCTGACTCTCTACCACCGAGCCACACTGGCCTGGGCTAAATCTGGTTATTTAACCTGTTTCAGAGAGGTAATTATGTGTTTAGTATCTGCTCTTGCAGCTAAAGCTAGACTCTAGGCAGGAGATGAGTAAATAAATATAAGTGGCAAAATATATATTTTATTTGAAGACTTACAGATAATATGAATAGGTTAATTTGGTTTTGTTGAAAAATACTTATGTTAGTAATAATGTGTCTAGAATCTGAATATTCTGGAATGGGTACAAGAGGATGACATATAAAACAACCCTTTTCTTTACCCATGCTCACCTGCATTGTCCCGAACTTTTCCCCATCCGGTCACCCAGCAAGAGCCAGGAATTGTCAACTGCTTTGTGATATTGGGCAGGCAGATAGGCAGGATGAAAGAAGTAAAGGTGACTCTAGAGAGCAGTTTCAATAAGGCAATATCTGCAGTTGTATTTTGGGGTTGGGGATGGAAAATGATTTGGGACACATAATGTCTCACACCATTATTTGCATTGCCTATTTTAATCGATCCCAGCCACACAGTATATGAGAAAGGAAACCAGGTCCTAAGGGGAAGAGAAAGAGGAGAATAATAAAAGTGGAGCATGCACATAAGTTATAGCTGGGTCAGAACAAGCTGTCTAGGTGTAGCAAGTAGCAGCACTCCATGAGAAAGAGGGGTAACAGACTCGGAATTAACCAGGCTGCTTCCAACTTGGACTAGGGTTGGTTTGTCTGCTTTTCTCCTTCCTTCTTCCTGACTGCTCTTTTTGTTTTTATTGTCTACTGTTTCTATGGCCTCGTCTTACATGCGTATGGCCAGCATTTTGTCCTGCTTTTTCTCCCTGGTTCTCTTGTTCACCTCTCCCATTCTCTGTGGTTTCAGGCATCATCTCTATGCTTAATAGTCATTGTTCTTTTTTATTATTTGTCGGTTTTTATTTCTGAGCACTAGACCTTTATTTCTAAATAACAATTTAAAGCAAAATATAATCACCAATGTTATATATATATAAAATTATATACATATATATAATTTAAAATGTCAAGTAGCTTGATAAGTACTAAATGAATGAATGAATGAATGAATAAATAAATAAAGCTCTCTGCCTTACTGCCCGCACTTAACACTTACCCAGAGGCAATCACTTTCAGCTCTTAGCTATTTTCCTTTGTATTTTCAAGAAACCCTATTTTTTGCTGTTAAATTTTTTTAGACTATTGTATACCTATTGTGAAAGGCAAAGATTGAGCCAACAGTCACTGCTAACCTCCCACTTCCTTTTCACCATCCTCCTAACCAAGTATTACGATTTTTTATTAGATAAGTATTTAATGTGTATGTTCTTGTGACTATGTAAACATCACTCACCACTGGACCATATTGGGTACTGTAAATACATTTCTTATAAAATGTTTTACTTGTCCTGGAGTTAATAGTATAGTCTCATTTCTTTATTTGTCTTCTTAGTTTTATAATTACCTATCATTAATTCATCATTCATTCCCCAAACTGTCTGCCAGAAGTATAAATCTTTCAGTATGTTAAAGCCTTCAGGCAGTCTATCAATACTTTTTGTTTTTTGAGCTCTCTGCCCTATTGCTCCAATCTTGGTGCTTTTCCTTCATTATTTTCCTGAGATTCTCTTCTATGTTGTATCCCTTTTTTTCTGGATCTCATGTTTTCCTCTCTTTTCTTCCCCTTTATTTTGGTGAAGCACCTTTTCCTGTGGCTTCCTGAGAAAGCATGCATGAGAAGTAATATTTTTGCTGTTTTGTTTATTTGAAAATGTTTTATTTCTGTCCCACACTTGATTGATAGTTTGTATATGGGTAGAATTCTAGGTTGGAAATAATTTTCTCTCAGTATTTTAAAGTTATTTCTCTTTTCTGTAAGCTTTTAGTGTTGTTATTGAAAAGTCCTGTTGTTTTGATTTCTCTGTACATTAGTTATCTATTGTTGAATGACAAGTTACCACAAAGCTTAGAGGATTAAAACATATATTTATCTCACAGTTTCTGTGGGCCAGGAATCAGGTGTGACTCAGCTGGGTGCCTTTGGCTCAAGATCTTTCATGAGGCTGTGGTCAAGGTGGGCTGCAGTCAATCTCAAGGTTCGACTTAGGGAGGATATTTCCAAACTCACTTATGTTGGCAGGCTTCGAGTCTTCACTAGCTATTGGCTAGAAACATTAATTTTACATGGACCTCTCCCTAGGGGCTACTCTCCACATGGCACTTTATTTCACTGACAGCAGTAGTTCTAAGAGAAAGCTCAGACTGTGTTTATGACCCCCAAGCTTAAGACAAAATGCCCTGACTGGTGTTTAGGAAGTTATTTGTCAAAAAGTAAGAAAAATTTCTAATACAGTACCTATTTTCACTATTTCTTTTTCTACTTCTCTGTCCTGTCCCTAGTCCAAGGTGACCTAGGGTTTCCTTCTGTTTACTCATCTTGCCACTTCTCATTTGTCTGTTGGTTCATCCATGAAATCATTTAAATATTCACTGAGACCCTATCCGTGTGTTAGTCATTAGCTAGAACTCACTGTTGTATGCAGTGCGCTGCCGTCAGTATCCACCTGTCACTGATGAGGGAACCTCCACAGAAGTGAGTCTCGCCATAGTGCAGGCTGACCTGCCAAGGCCAGTGCCCTGCAACAGCTTCCTGTCCCCCCACAATACGGCCTGAGTATATAGGTCGTCCACACACTAAGAGAAAGAGGAGAGAGGGAAATATGGATCTGGGTGTCCCATTGTCCCCATTTTCTCCTCATCCCCCAAATCCCACTCTAGGACCGGCATCCTCCCTAGCTTCCATATGCCATCCTATTCCAGTTCCAAACCCAACAGTTTTGGGCCCAAATGGAAACCACTCACCTGACTGCAGATCTTTCTTTTTGGAAGAAGAGCATGGGCAAGACCCTAAGACAGACATGCCGTGTCATTAATATATAACAACAAAATATCTAAATTCACTGAACAGAACAGGCTTTCCACACATTTAAATTTCTCAAATTGGTGTTAAAGGCAAAATTTTTATAAATGTTTACCCATGAGTGGGAAATCTTGATAATTATTACATACCTACCTGCCTTCTTTAGCAGCATACATAGAACATAATTTAATTTTTACCTGGCGATTCCAGGGTGTCGTCAGGAATATCAAGATGTTAGGTTGTAAATACAATATTGCCTTCAGATGCTTTTGAGGTTTTTATAAGCTGTTTTCTTTTGTCCTGTTTTCTTTAACTGAATTGGCATTTTGCAGTATTTGTAGTTTTGTTTTTTTTTTGTTTTTTTTTGCCACCTGTTATCTTTTGGCTATGTCTCAGCCTACCCTACTTTTAAATTGCCATGAGCCAGAAAAATAAATGAAAAGCTTAGCCCTGAAGTCATTGAACAGTGTTTGCACTTGCAGTTTCCTCTGCTTGAAATGTTCTTTTCCTAGATCCTCCTGAATCACTCATCTCCTTCAAGGCTTTGCTCATGTGACTCTCTCTTAATGAAACCTTCCTTGACTACCCTATTTAAAATTACAAGTCTCCAGTTCCTGCACTCCTCATGCCCCTTCCTCTCATTGTATTTATTTCTAACGTGCTATATAATTTGCATATTCAATATGTGCATTGTTTATAAGCCCCAGGAGGGCAGAGACCTCTTGTTTACTGCTATATCTAAGATACTTAGAAAGGTGCCTGGCATATAGGGTCCTCTCAGGGCACACTACTATACGTAAGGTCCCATAGGTGAAGTGTCATCTTATTCTATACCATAATTTCTTGAACCAAAAAACCCTCCCCTTCTCCCCTCCCTAGCCCACCTGAGGGGCTTACCCAGCACAAGTGACAGCAGGAAGACAAAGCCAGCATGGCCCATGTCTCTGTCCTCAGAATCAACACTTCATGTTTCCTGGACTCAGGCTCAGAGGCAGATGCCTGCTGGGGAGCAGCCAGAGGAGCGGAGCAGGATCAGCTTCTCTTCCTAGATGGATTCCTTTGCTTCACTCCTTTCTCTCCTTGGTCTTCATCCAGGGCCAGGCACTGAAGGGACCAGACTTTAGAAATGCAGCAGCAGGAAGAACCCAGGGGGAGGAGCTGGAACGTGAGGCATCCCCTGCTATGTAGGGAGAGCAGGGTGCCTGCTGGGTGGGGGAAGAGTAGTTGCAGTAGCTGCCTGCCCAGGCAAGTTGGAGGGCGCTGGAAGGAACAGGACCCTTTTCTCTAGCAAGGAAATGGAAGATGGACAGAATTCTTCAAAAGCCAGAAATGGAAAAAAGGAAATTGACCAAGCTCCTGGCTAATTTTTCCTAAATTTTTGTTTTCACCTGCAATACATTGTTAGCCTTAAATATACTACAAGTCAGATTTTCTGGGAAATAGACTTTAAGGCAGAGAGATTAACGTGCAAGAAGTTTATTTGGAAGTGGTCTTAGGATCAACACCTCAAGGGGGTTGGAAGCAGAATTGGACAGAGGGAGAGTCGACCTATAATGCATTTGCAGTAGAGGCCTCAGCCCATCCCACAAGTTTCTCTGGAGCTGGGGTATCCCTTCAAAGATGTCCTGAACTGAGACAAGAAGTCTGGGCACTGGGACTTCTGCATGATTGGATGCAGGCTCCCTCCAGTGAGGGGCCATTACCTTGGGTGAGGTGGCTCTGTTGGCAGTTCTTAGAATCTTTGCTGTGAACTGTCAGCAGCCAACACTCCTGGTTGCTAGGAAAATGAATGCTTCAGTTCTGAAGGAGGATCTGAGTGGTGCAGCACATTGCGGGCGGCAGAATTAGTCCCTGTGCCTTTTCTGTTTTCTGTACCAATTGTTTGTAGGGTACTAGGTCTGTGGAGGCAGAATTCAGTGAACTCTCAAAGCATGTTATTGTTCTCTTGTAGCTTAAAATATTGGGAGGTTTGTCTGGCTGGGTGTGGCTCAGTGGTTGAGCATCGACCTATGATCCAGGAGGTTGCAGTTGGATTCCCAGTCAGGGCACATGCCAGGGTCATGGGCTCAATCCCCAGTTGGGGGCTTGCAGGAGGCAGATCAATGACTCTCTCATCATTGATGTCTCTCTCTCTCTCCCCCCCTTCCTGTCTCTGAAATCAATAAAGATATATTTTTTTAAAAAATCAAACCATCTAAAACATTTAAAAAAAAATTGGGAGTTTTGAAAGATACACATGAATAATTAAAAAAATAATAGAAGCTCAGAATATGTACCTTTTTTAATAAGGTTTGTTCAGTTACAAGCATCAGAGACTCACTTAAACCAGCTTAAACAGAGGAGTATTTTAAAGATATGGTTGTAGGCTGAAATGTGTCTTCCCCCAAAATTCATGTGTTAAAGTCCTAACTCCCGGTACCTCAGAATGTGACGATATTTGGAGATTGTCTTTAAAGAGGTAATTAAGGTAAAATGAGGTCATTAGGGTGGGCCTTAATTTGATATTAATGTTGTTGTTATAAGAAGAGGAAATTTGGACATAAACTTGTACAGAGACAAAAGATGGCTGTCCACAAACTGAGGATGCCTGGAACAGATTGTTCCCTCAGGAGGAACCAGCCCTGTTGTCACCCTGATCCCCAACTTCTCACCTCTGTAACTGTGAGAAAATAAATTTTTTTCATTTAAGCCACCCAGTCTGTGGTACTTTGTTACCACATCCCCAGCAAAGGAATGCAGGTATCTGTGGAACAATAAGGAAAACAGAGTAGCAAGGACATCTGGAGCTATCATAGGACAATCCTGATGACCAGGGTAGGAGACCGGAGCTGTAAGGACATAGGTTCATGTCTGTGGACTAATTGTCTTTGGAGTAAGTGCCCTGATGCATGAAGGGGGAAAGTGAGGATGCAGAAATATGGTCAGCCTATGGTGGGACAGATGCCAGATTTTCTATATCTCAGTACAGTAAGATGTTTACCTCTTTAAATACATTTTTTAAGATTTTAGAAGTGAACACTTGAAAAATTCCATTTACTTTTACTGGCTGCCACACTATGAATTTTTACTTAAATTATATGTTTCAGATCTATTTGTCTTCATTTGTGTCAACTTGATGGGAATGACTACTACTACTATTATGTTTATGTTAGTTCCTCCATACATTTTTTTAAAATCCTCACCCAATGTTTTCATTGACTTTTAGAGAGCGAGGAAGGGGTGGGGAGAGAGAGAAGCATCAGTGCAAGAGAAAAACATTGATTGGTTGCCTCCCATACTTGCCCCAACTAGAAATCGAACCCGCAAGCTTTCAGTGTACGGGATGACGCTCCACCCAAATGAGCCAACCAGCCAGGGCTCCTCCACACATTTTTTAATGGTTCTTTTATGCAACCTATTTGTGTGTGTTTCTATCATTAACTGTGCTTTTTATCATATATAATGATTCTCTCAGTACTTCTCACCTAAATTTTTTCTGAAATTAATATTGTAACCTGTGATTTTGTCCTGCTCATTTAATTTAAGAAAAAGATTTATTCGTATCACAAGCATCTATGTGGGTATTCCAATTAACTTATGGTATTCACAGGCCATTTTAACTCTCTAGTAACCTTATTTCAGTATAGCTTTTTAAAAAGTCAGATCTCAGTTTGAGATTTCCCTTCAAGTCATGTTTGGAGTAAAAGTAGTGATTTTGCAAAGACACCAAAGTTCTGGACAGGTCTTTCTGTTGATTTATCGAAGGAACAAAAATTTGACCAGGTATTCTTTTCCCTCTGAGGGTCTGTGGATCTTTGGATTTTTCTATCCCTGGCCAAGTCTGAAGTCACTGATCAATACTCTTTATACACTAGTTGGATTGTTCACAGACTCTCTTCTTTTTCCCTTTGTTTAACTGTTTTATAAAAATATATTTTTGGTTTTGGTTCCAATTTAGCTGGAAATAAGCTTTATTAGAAGTAACGAAGACACCAGCTCCTTGCTCTGAAATTGAAAGTAAGGGGAAGAATTAAATAGTTATCTTGTTTTTCCTGTTCAAGCTGTAGTTCAGAGTAACAAAATGGTTTAGTTGATGAGGGAAGAATTCCAGCTAATAAATGTGGTTGGGCTGATAGAATTTGAAAATCACCACTTGCAGCCCCTCATGAGATTGATTCAGGGGATGATTATCAGTAATTGAAAGCTTTAGGTGAAAGGTTGATGGAGTGCTCAGGGTGTTACCATTTGAACCCTGTGGTCAGTTTTAGCATCGTGAAAAGTAGGATAAGGCAGACATGTGCCTTGTGATGTGACATAGTATGAAGTGATATCCAATGAAGTGTTCTGTCAAAAAAAGGTGAAACAGAAACCTGACTCTCTCAAGTTATTGCCACATACAGCAAAATACAGGGATAAAGGACTAAGTTAAATTATAACACAAGGAAGTAAAAGTCAAATCCAGAATGTGGGATATTTTATAAAACAATTGACCTGGTTTCTGTAGTAAGTGAATGATATGAAAAAAGGAGGGAAACTCCTCTAGATGAAAAGAAACTTAAGAGACAATTGTGTGTGGCCCTTGTTTGGATCATGACATAACAAACCAACTCTAAAAAGACATTTTCATGCAAGCAAGGAAATAATGAACTGGGTATTAGAGGGTATGAAGGAATTATTGTTAATCTTGTTAGTTGTGATAATGGCATTGAGTTATGTAAGAGAATGTCCATTTTTAAAGAGAGAGTTGGAACCTATGAATCCTTTGTAAATCTAAGCTATCCTCTTTTATTACATTGGAGAAATCTCCTTGGGTTTGGAGCCCACGGTGCTACTCAGTCATTTTCATGGGGATGGCTGTATGACCTTCAGCAAGTAACCTTTCCCCCAAGGCCTGTGCTTTACTCTTGTTAACATGAAGAAATTAGAACTAGTTGTTGATCTCAAAGATTCTTTAAGATGTAACATTAAATTATGCATTGCTTGTTTATCTCTCTTTCTTTATCTTTGTTATTGTGTGCCTCCATTATTTCTCTACAAATATTTTCTTTATTTTGGTTTGGCAATCATGAATCATGTGGAGTCTGCCATTTTACTGCTCCTTTGCTTTTTCTAAGAGAAGGATGTGCCATGGAGTTAGAAGCAAGAGAGCAGGTGCTTAATGGCCACTCTATAGACTTTCCTGAAGACAGCTCTTTATAGCTCTCCACCTCCCTCATCATGCTCTGTCTCCAGGTCTTACTTAGATTCTTTGTTTTCAGATCCTTACTGTGTTATCATTAAAGTTACCTGTAAATACCTCTGCTATACATAGTAACTATTGATTTGGGAAGTGGCAATATGGTGTTGGTAGTAAGACCTTTTTTATTTCCATGTGGCTGTGGCTAAGTGACAACCTTTCCATGTTTGTAAAGTGGGAATGATAATACCACACAAAAGTTTTGTAAGAATTAATGAAATCTAGGGCAAGTACTTAACTTGGATTTGGCTTATAATAATTTGCCATGCAACAATAAATAGTAGCTGCTGTTTTTGTTGTTGTTGAACTAATATCCCAGTTTTTTTTTATTATTTTTTACTTTTTTATTGAATTTATTGGGATGACATTGGGTAATAAAATTATATAAGTTTCAGGTGTACAATTCTATAATACATCATCTGTACATTGTATTGTGTGTTCACCACCCCAAGTCTCCTTCCATCACCATTTATTTACCCCCCTTTACCTCTCCTCACCCTCTTTTCCTTCTGATAATTACCATACTGTTGTCTGTGTCTATGAGGTATTTTTTTTGCTTAATCCCTTCATCTTTTTCACCCAACCCTACAACCCCCCTACCCTCTGACAGCTGTCAGTCTGTTCTCTATCTGAGTCTGTTTCTGTTTTGTTTATTAGGTTACATATTAGTGAAATCATATGGTACTTGTCTTTCTCAGACAGTTTTAAGTATTAACTTAATTGTGGGCAAACAGGTCATCTTGGAGATAGCTTAGGTTGATGTTGACCAGGGTTTCTCAACCTTGACACTATTGACATTTTGGGCCAGATGATTGTTTGTTATGGGGGGCCGTCCTATGCACTGT